CCATTTTCACCTGCATTCTCGTTGTTTACGTTGTTTATATGAAAATCAGATTTCATGTAATTTAAATGATTATCAAGACCTCTCTTACATTTGTAGCAGTACAAACTATTTTAATACATGATTTATGCTAATAAGTATCAAATTTATGTCTATTAAAACAATGGTTAAGACTTTTATTTTAGTCATGAAATCTAACTTACTTATCTAATTTAAAATATAATGGAAGATTAAATGTTAAATAAATAGTACAAAGTAGACAATTAAAAAGTAATCATATTAATAATTATTATGTTTTAGCATTATTTTAATATCTTAAAGAATTAGCTATTACTTTTAAAGAATATTTATAGTTAATTTTTATAGATGATAAATATAAATGTAAGATTGAAAATTAGGTTATCCAATTGTTACTGTTAAAAGAAAAAACAAGTAATACTTTTATATGATAAATCCTTGATCTATCATTTAATCCAATAAAACATAATTTTGAATTATATAACTTAATTGTAAATAATAAATAGCAAAATCCATTTTTATTAATTTACACTAATAGTGATCCTGATTATAAAGTTAATTATTTAATTATTTACGAGTCTAACTTTCTTTAATTGCTTTATTTATTACTTTAGATTTTGATTTATTAGTAGCAGTATGTATACCATTAGGAAATTCTTGAAAAAATCCCATAGAATACATAATGTTTATTTTAAATCTAAGATTACAATGTATAGGACTAATGAGAGTAGAAATGAATGAAAAATGTGAAGAATCTATGAAATATTGTAATTCAATAGAAGATATTAAAAAAGATTAAAGAGAAATTATAATTAAAAGAACAATTATTAAATAGTTTATATTCTACTATTAAATTAATGGAAAATTTAATTAAAAAACTTAAATTAAGGAAGAATTATTTTATACTTTTAAGGTAATTTCTGATGAAAAAATAATTATATTATGGAATACACTTCTTTTAATTGATAAATTTTTAACAATAAAAGACAATTCAAAGAAAAATATTTAGAATAAATTTTATTTTTTAGAATTTTATAATCATTGTTATAGTTTATGACATTATTTTTTCAAAATTAAAAATGTGAATTATTAGAATGCAATATATATAAACTTATGAAATGTGATCCTGAAACTTGGCTTAAAGTTTATAATTTTTTTGATTTAATTCTAATAATAGATGGCAAAAAATATAAAAGTTTTGAAGATGAGACAAAAAAGTCTAAAAATGAAATAAGCTTTAAATCTAATACACAAAATTGTAAAAATGTTGATACTTTAATTCAATGTGAAGAATATAATAAATAGCATATAATTTATTCAAAATCAAAATTATTTTTAGAAGAAAAAGAAGAGCTAATAAGATTTTTAGATGTAATTCAATATACATGTAGTGATACTAATTTAGCTAATTTTACAAATATACAGGATCTAATAATACAAATAATTTTATGAAAAAAATTATTCTTTATTATTAAGGTTAATAATACTTTAACATATCAATAGTCCTATTGAAGTTTCATATTATTCAAGTGAATTGTTATTAAAGAAGCATTTTGTTTTAACTGTGGTTTAGAATGTAAAGAACATATGGGATTACGGATCATATAATTTACTATGCCTCATGACTTGATTTTACTGGAATTTTACTGGAAACGTTCCCATATAGGTTGTTACAAAGGTTTTGATCATATGATTTATATAGTTCCGCAGCATGATTTTCATACGTACTAACCTATATTAACTATGGTGAAGTTTAACCAATAAAATTACACTTCATAATCACGTGATAAACATTTTATATACTCTCTAAATGCATGCACTATGTATTTTTTCTCTAAATGCACACTCTTACTCAGTTCCAAGTATATAGAGATCATAAAATATTTCTCTCTCTTTAAATGTACACCCTCTCTAAGTGCACATTTTCTCAAATTTTTATTATGGTCCTGAGGGATGCACTTAGAGAGAGTTGACTGTATAAACTTTTTTGAAAACCTTAACCTTAGTAAAAGCCCTGCCAAAAACTTATGTTGTTTTGACATTCCGTAATAGTAAGGTCCTCAGAAATCTGTACAAAAAAATAATTAGTTTGCAAGCTTTGAAGTCGCTTTCTTGCAAATGTATAACCATAATCAAAATACTCGTACTTTATTTTCTCCAATAATTTCGCTAACACTTCCTCTGTTGAGATTTATATGTCTCAGACTTGCGCTCTCGAAGGACAGGGCTCTTTAGTTCATTAAGAACTGTCAATATACCGTTTTTGTATTATGGCTCGGGTGGATGAAAAAATCTTTTCTGAATAGTACTGCGCATTTGTTTTTTCAAAAAAATTAATGTTAACACAAACATCAAGTTAGAGGTTGGAACCGGTTTTATTTTCACAAACCGGTTGTGAATACTTTTTTAATTTTAGACCCGAATTTAAACTGAATTTATATAAATCTGATTCAACCAAGCATTGTAATAAAACTGAAAAACCGCGAAAATTGGATCCAAATAATTATAAAAAAATTTTTTTAACATCATTGTTGATATCTAATTATCAAATGTTTCATATGTCATAAAACATTCGAATTTTCTTAATCAACAGATTTAATTAAAACCAGTTTTCGAATCTGAAAAAATTAGACCCCGGTTTTATGTTGCAACTGGTTTTAATCGAATTTAAGATCTGTATTTGACTTAGCCGAGTATAAATTTAGTAAGTTTGAATGTACGCATAAATTTTTTCGAAACATTTCGCCAAGAACTTCTGTTAAACAGAAAAATATATAACATAACTAAAATGTCCATTAGGTAGCCCGATAGTAAGTTATCTAACAATGTCTTTATTTCTTTATTTTATATTTGCTGAAAAATGATTTTTGAAAATTTGTTTTTTAACTCTTGATTTTGCGTTTCAGATTCGTCAAAATGGCCAATAAGATTGTATATTGTTTTGTCCTAGGTGATACTGGAAATACTTTTCTGGTTACTATTGCTGAACCAACAACTCTCATTAATAATAATGAACACCCAATTAATGACATAACCGTTGCTTTCTTCAAGGATCTTATCTGGGATAAGAAAGGAAGTGTCCTTAAAACTAGTAGACCTGGTATAACTTCTGATATGCTGGATCTTTGGAAAGTTGAAATCGAAGAAACAGCGACAAACATAAAACTACTGAAAAATACTGAAACTGACATTGAAAAGGCATTCGAAGGAGAGAAGCTGACAACATTTGAAAAGATTAATGAGATTTTCCCAAAACCTTCACCGAAATACATCCACATCATCATGCAACCACCTCTGTCTGCCACCACTGGTAAGTGTCTCCCAATGGTTTACCTCTCGAACAAGAAATTCGCGGATCTTTTATTAATCAGCTTGTTTCCTTTTTTCCACCTTTTCCCATTTCCCAAAAAGAGCACAAACAGAAAAAAGGCGCCTTTGGTATAGAGATCCTAAGGAAACATCTGTTATTTAAGGTTCGAGTAATGAGGTTCGGTAGGTTCCTGTATCACAATCGGAATTCAAATTAGTACGCGAGAATCATCTATTATACGTGGACAAAACTTCTTGGCTGGTTAAACTAAATCTAAATTCCGGCCAATACTTCGTATCAAGATCTCAAAAATTTGGAAAATCCATGTTTCTTAGTATGATTGAATCCTTCTTTTTGGTCCAGCATGATCTCTTTAAGGATTTATACATTTATCAACATCCGCCAGAAATTTATGTTAAGAGTATAATAAGGAAATGGAATGAATCAGATTTGCCTCTAATTCCTGTCATCCGTCTTGATTTCTCTGTTTTAACCTTAAACGAAGGATCAGAAATGCTAAGGAATGAACTTATCCAATTGCTAAAATCTATTGGGGAGTCATATGGTATTACTTTAAAGCTTGATAGTGTTAAAGGTATCACCAAAGAACTAATTACAACACTTGCTGGTCATGAAGAAAACATGTATGAGAAAGTGGTAATTCTCATAAATGAGTATGATTCACCAATATTAAATGCCTTTGATGCTATGAAAGAGAGCTTGACCATTGCAGATCACAACCATGGGGTATTGAAGGGTTTCTTTGAAATGTTAAAGTCATCGCAACAATACATTAAATTTTGTTTTGTGACCGGCGTCACGATGTTTTCAAATATGGAATTATTTTCAGGAGCAAATCAACTTACGGATATGACAATGAGGGATAAATTATCAGATGCGTATGGCTTTATGGAAGATGAGATAGTAAAAGCCTTTGAATTCTCAGGAGGTTATGATATAAAAGAAACAATGACTAAACTTCGGGAAAGATACAATGGCTACTTTTGGGATGGCCAGACCAAAGTGTACAATCCGTACAGTGTATGCAGTTTTTTTGATGCATATCAATTGGAAAACTTTTGGATTAAGAAGGGGAGAACTAGCTTTTTGGCGAAGTTGATTAGTATAGAGCATATTAAGAACATCACAAGCGAAACCACAATCAAAAAAGATTTTATCATTCCTGTCAGTATTGAGAGTATAATGAATTCAACACCCCCTATCTCATTATTATTTCAAGCAGGCTATTTAACCATCAAGCGAACAATAGGTGAGGATTTGTTTCTCGAAATTCCAAACCATGAAGTACGAGATTCTTTAATGAGTGAGCTATGGTCAAATTCCCTTGGTGTTACAATAGAAAAAGCATTTAAGATATAGGGCATTCTGGGGGTACTGGGACAGATTTCAAATATACCTCAAATAGACCTCCAAACCCCGCCTACGAAACCAATTTGCTATATGATTTCTAATATTAAATTCAAGTCTCTAGCGTCTTTTGACTCAAATATAGATAATGTTATCGAAC